CTCGGGGAGGCGTCCACTTTAAATCAAGGCGACCAGTGCTTGCTCATGCAGCAGGCAGCCAATCTTCAATCGTGAATCGTCATGAGTTTCTGCTGCATGCAAAGCAACGCGACTGGCAAGTTGGGCACCTCCAAGGAGGTGCACACTGAATGGGGTGCCATGCGCAGGGAAGAGCGAGCGGTCGCCGCGCAGACTCAAAGGCATCAGCATCAGCAAGGTGGATGGATCACTACTGCTGCATGTTCGCGGTCACGGTGTGATGTGCACCGAAGCTACATGAGTTAGTCACTCGTGCCGAGGAACCAAGAACCTGATTCATCAGATTGATTCTCTCGTTATATAGGCCGGCAGTCTTTGTTTGGATACGCGTGCGGTCAATTTTCGGAGACGGCAAATCCATCTGCATGGACGTATACGGAGATGCGCCAGTGACATGTACCGCAATCAAAATGTGAGCCGTACGCCATGCAGAATCATGACTTGTACGCGGCCGCACACTCCGTGATGTGGCTTGATGACAACACATGCGCGCACACTCAAAAGTGTAATCTGCGAAGGTATTTTGTATTGGCTTGCCAATACTTGCGCAGCACAATATGGGTCATGAGTAGGTACGAACACAAAGCGGGTCTTCCGATTTGTATCTGCGCGCGTACCACAAGCGCTGAATGGCATGACCGCGCAGGCCGTTTGGTCCTCAGCCGCTCGCCTTGAATCGCGATGGACGGTCCATCGCCAGCGTGCGCGCCATTTGCATACGCGTTCATCAAACCTGTGCGCGCTGTCGGCATATACGTTCGTCAAACCTGTGCGCTGTCTGCATACTGGGGCCGTTCGCCAACCTGATGCGACTTCGCCAACGCGCGCTACAATCGTACATGCCAGGCGGCCCATCAACACCACGCGAATTCAAAATTCCAAACGCTCATCCCGAACTGTGGGCCGGCTTTTACCTGTCAACGTGGATATTGTGCACACTGTTGGCATGTTGTGTCATTTCTGTATTAGTGTGAACCAGAGTATGCTCGCGGTTTCGTAGCTCAGCAGCAGAGCGTCAGACTTCGATTGTTTGGCATCTGAAATCTGAATGTCGCGGGTTCAATCCCCGTCGAAGCCTGTGAATTTTGTGGAATTCTTTTTTTCCTGAATGTCGCGGACTCAATTCCCGTCGAAGCCTGTGATTTTTTGAGCTCAGCAGCAGAGCGTCAGACTTTGATTGTTTGGCGCCTGAAATCTGAATGTCGCGGACTCAATTCCCGTCGAAGCCTGTGAATTTTGTGACTTTTTTGATTCTTGTTCATCGTGATCGCCGCGCCTCAGATTCTTGATTTTCATCGCGTGATCACCGCGCATATTTGGCAGCCGCTCACATTCACGTGATTGCCTCGTTCAGATTGATACGTGCTCGCTGTGTTCAGCAATCGCGCGCAATCGCGCCGATGCGGCCGAGTCTGCGCGACTCTGGACGATTGTGCAGCGATTCGACGGACAAGTAGGCAAAGAAAGGTGCACGGTACGCGATACTGATGACAAGATCGTGCACTAGAAACGTGGCCGAGGAGAAAGGCTCATCGCCGCGGACTCAATCCATCAAGCACAATCTGCCGGATGGCAGCAGCGCAAGGGCAATCAGTGTAATCTCACGTGACGCGACTCAGGCTCTCATTCTTGATTCAATTTGCGATTGTTTTGGAGTTTGTGGCGCGCGTCTTGTACAGCATACGGTACCAGCGCTGCCTCGGAAGGCTTTGCAGTTTGGGTCACACAAATTGTGTGCGCGCACAAGTCGCTCGGGTGATTTGTGTGCATGCATGCTGCTGCATGAATTCAGGCTTTCGCATGCAAGACCCGTCTTCCGCTCTGCATGGGGGGGGGCCTCGATTTGTATTCACATTCTCGCGCACATTGTCGCGCACCCATATAGTCGCATATTTGGTGCGATAATTCTTGAATTCGCGACACGGCGCGCGGTGCATGTGTCTCTCGCTCAATCGTTTGCGTGAAACTGCTGCATGCTGCCGATCTACCCGCCCCGCCCGCGCACGCGCGCGTGATGAGACTCGGGGCAAAATTTGATCGCTCAACGCTGACTGGTGGCCAGGCCTGGCCGCGCGCGAGCTTTCTCACAGCTGCTGCTGCACTCTCCCGTCTGCGACTCGTTCGCGACCGTCTATCATCGCGCCATGCTTCTGACCATCGCAGATCGCGAATCCTCCCTTACCCGCTCGTCGCAGCTGCTCCTAGACTCATCTCGCCCTCACAGTCAGTCGCAGCTCGATCGATTAGAACCGCCCTCTTCTGCTCTCCGCGCTTCGTGCCGCACATCGACACCGCCCTCGGACCAACAAAGCCGATGAGACTTTGAAGCACGCTCAGCTGCTTCTGCCCAGACGACCATCGACAGTCCGAGTGGCTTCTTTGCTTTCGCCCACTCCATCTTGTCCACATTCTCGACTGAGCCATACCCCTCCCTGCGCAACACAGTCTCGTCGCTCTCGCAGCCATGCTAGAGACATCGCGCAGCTCCACTCCGGCTCAAGGCGGTCGCTCCGCCTCTGCACGAGGCACGCCAGAAGCGAGTGGCCGCAGCTCCAGCGGCCTTCACACCAGAGAGTCTTCGGGCAGAGATAGAAGTGCGAGCAGGAGCAGGGACAGCAGCGCGAACAATGCTGCTGCCCATACACCCGGTTCCAGCATGGCAAACTTCAACATTGACTCGTTCGACTTTGGCGCAGACTTTTCCCTTCCCTCCGGACTGGATGATCTCAACATCTATCACCATGGTGCGGCTGCTGGCAGCGTCACCCACTCTGCACCCGGAAGTATCACTGGCGCTCCCAGTCCCGCAGCTGGCAGCAGCAGTGGTAAAGGAGGTGCAGCTGGCGGTGGTGGAAGCGGCAGCAGGCATGGAAGTCCGAGATCAGCTCACGTCAGTGCGGCCAACTTGGCTGGAGGTACGGGTTCTACCGCAGCTGGTTCGCCTCTCGCCAATCTCCTTCTCAGCATGAACGGGACGGAGGGCAACAGTGCTGCGCAGTTGCTCGGCTTGAATTCCAATCACCTCTCCCACCTCGATGCCCGCTCTCAAAGCCAACATCCGCAGGATCGTCAACTAAGCATAAGCGATCTTCAGCGCATACTGGCCGAGAAGGAGCACGCTGAGCGGCTGCAGAATCTGCAGACCGCCGTGCTAAGACAGCAGTTGGAAGCCTTGCAACGTCAGACTGAAGGTCGTGGTGGAGACAATTCGCAGCAAAGGGGCAACCAGCCGCAGCAGCAGCAAAATGGTGGACTTTCGGTCAATACAAATGCCTTCGCCTTGCAGCAGCTGCAGCAACAGCAACAGCAGCACCTCCTGGCCATGGCAACTCAAGCTTCCCAAGGTATCACGCCCACACAGTCGAATGCTCAGAGCCCCTTCGTCTCACCCTTTAGCTCGACTTCGCCTCACTCGCAGATCGGCAATCCCTTCATGACAGGACAGCCACTGGCTCAAAATGGCGGCGGCATGAGCTCGTCTGGTGCAGCTACGAGCTCGGCAATGGCGCAGTATGGCCTGCTGACGCCCATGAATTCGGGTGCTTTCAATTCGTCGTCGCAAGCACACATGCCCTTTGTGAGTAAGGTCGAGTCGGTTTCTTCCCATCGCTTCTCCGCTGATGCAAGCCTTGCGCATGACTCGCAGACCAATGGAAGCTTCACACCTCTGGAATCGCCAGCGATCACCCCAGCAAGCGTCTTCTCCAACGCTTCTACAGCCACCACCACTGCAGACTTTTTCTCTCCCCTCACATCACCTGCGCTGAGGCCGCAAATCCCCACGAGTGATTTGATGCTTCCACCCTCGGCATCGAGTGCAGCAGCGAGGCTGCATGCAGCTAGCACTTCGCCCGCGTTTGGGCCTCAGCGAACAGGTGCACCTCCTAGTGCGAGCCCATTGGCGCTCATGGGCCACTCCAAGCCGCTGCCCAGAAAGAACAGGAGCACGACGGCTGAAGCCCGCGCGAACAAGATGCGTCCCAGTCCACTAGTCAAGCCCACTGCACCCGCGCGGAGCGGTCGGTCGAGGGGCGATTCTGCTGCATCCTCGGGACTCACTAGTCCTGCGACTGCTACTCCTGGCGAAGGTCATTCTCGATCTGGCTCGGGCAGTCAGAACCGCTCGACGATCAGCAGCAGTGCAGCATCGAGCAATAGCGCTCCTGCCCCTTCCTCCACCAACTCGTCCGCTTTGCCCTCCTTCACTCCCGTCATGGCCGGATCTGGCAAGTCGCTGGATGCTAGCCCGAGCGAAGGCGCTGCTAGCACGCCAAGTCCGATCGATCTGAGTGCGAGCAGCATGCCGCCCCCTCCTGCGCCTTCCAACAGCAAGCCCTTGACGCCAGGCAGCATCATGGGCATCGCTCCAAAGAGCGGCACCGGAAATGGCAATGGCCTCGGCGGTGCGAGCTCGAGCTCCAGTTCAAAGGCAAAGCAAAAGGCTGCAGTGTCAGACGCCAAAGCCGTCACTTTTGCGGAGGGAGCAGATTCCAACGATGGTAGTCCCGGGACGGGCAGCAACGGCAATGCTACCCAGCCCAACAACGGCGGTGTTGGTGGCGCTTTGAGCGCGTTGAGAAACATTGCGCCAGGACATTTGTCTGCTGCCGAGAAGGAGGAATGGACGGTGCACAAGGCCGCGGGTGGAGGAGCGCTGGATTCTCGAAGGACGTCTCACAAGGCAGCCGAGCAGAAGAGGAGAGACTCGTTGAAATACTGCTTTGATGAGCTCAGAGGAATGTTGCCCGCCATTACGCTGGACGATGATGCGCCTGGCGGATCCTACCTGGGCTCGGATGGCAGGGCGGAGGACATTGAGGTTGAAAGGTTCGATCCTGCAGAGCTGTGCGATGGAGAGGCGTCCAGACTGGCCAATCGAGCCATTAGCAAGGTGGCTCTGCTGCGCCACTCGAACGAGTATCTGGTTCGCATCGCTTCCAGATTGGTGCGAAGGGACAAGGCGCTATTGGACGCTCGTGCAGAGATAGTTCAGCTTCGATCCGCACTGGGTCTGCCTCCTAGTCCCTCTTGCCAATTCATCTCCCCTCCACCGATAGGCTATTTGGGAGGTATGGGCCATCAACTTCATGCGCAGTACGGATTGGAAATGGTGCCCGGTGCGCATCAGCTTCACTTGCATCAACATCCACATCAGCACCCATCGCAGCAGTCGACTGCTGCACAGCAGGATGGTCAACAGTCGCACGCAATGGACCTGGACATGGACATTTCCGCCGCTTGAAGCTTTTCCTACTCCACTTTCCACTCAAGTCGACGCGTCGACGTGACGTCCCGAACAACCTTGTCGGAACAGCGAGCTAGCGAGCCCAAGGTTGGGGATGCGACCGCTTCAGCCCCGCTTTGCGAACCCCCAGTCGACTGCCCCCCCCGTTTTTCTTGGCTTCCCTTGCCGAGATACCCCGCGCGCGCGCCCCTAGCGCACTCTTTGTCCCCTCCCTTTTTCCCCCCTCCCCACCTTTTCACCTCCTCTCTTATGCTGGACCTCCACAATTGTACGACTTTAAAGGGTTTCCCACCTCCTCCGCTGAGGAACATGACGCTATACTATAATTTGCCAAACACGAAAGCGGGAGGGGGTGGGCGACAGTGAAGTCGAAACAAGTCACAAGTTCAGATGACTAGCGCGCGCGCGCGTTTACGAACAAGCAAGGCAAGCAAAGAGGGCTCCAGACAGACCGTCGCTGTTCCATTTCGCGTACGCACAATGTGGTCGCTTTCTCTCTCTCTCCCCTGCACTGCACTGAATGTAGGATGGGAGTGAAGAAGCAAGCATTGGGAAAGTGACGTTAGAGGCGGGGGGGAGACAAGTAGCATGATTGGAACAGGCGCGGCGCAGCGCGGCGCGTGAGAAAATGGAGCAGTGAGTGATGCGCAGAGCAAATGTAAAGACAAGGAGGGGGGGTAAGATGCGTTGCTTTGGCTTGAAATATACGCAGAGTGGGCAACGAGAGAAGGGGAGGAAGCGGTATGCGTGGGGTGCAGATGCGAGTCCGGTTCGGAGTTGTGCGGGGGGGGGGGGGGGGGGGG